TCGGGCCCAACCGAAAAACGGTTCCGACACTGAGCTCTATAGTTCACCTTTAGTTTTCTTACTTTTAGATTCATTCGACCGCGTTAAGACTTTTTTGGTACTTAAATGATCATTTAGCGACATAAATTATCGATTACAATATGATTTTTATTGAACCTTTATTATATTTCAAAATTATTATCAGATTATGAAATATTTTGTATTAGACACTTAGGGTACTATTTTGAAATTTTGGACTATATGATTTCGCATGCATTCTATTATTAGATATGAATACTTATTATTATTTATTTATATATATTTTAATTGATGTTTACTTACTTTATATACTACTTTAATAATGTTGACATTTCCTTAAAAGAGAGATGTTTTATGAATCATTGTTAACGTAACTTGATCATAACATCTAGGCCGGGTCGAGAGGACTATATGTTATCAATGACTAAGAAAAATTCTGAACAGATATTACGTTATAATTACTCTAGACTATTAGAAATATCATTTGTTAGTAAAGTAATTTTACTTAGTTTCTATGATTTAAGTTTGCGAATAAATTAGCCGTAAAATTATCTGACAAAGTTAAGTGAGTATAAAAAAAATTAATCACAGAAATTAAAGCTTAATCGCATGATTAGAAAAATAGTAAATAAAATATCTGAAAGGGATAAAGAATGGGTTGAGCTATAGAGCCGAAATTATCAAAAATGATAAAATAAAATAGTAAATATACACATTAAGAAAATAATAAAAAGTAAAAAATATATAACAAGAAATAAAAAAGATAAAATATAAATATAAAATTAAATACATAAAAATATGTATATAAAATATAAATAATTAATAATTTAAAAAATATATTTATATATTAATAATATAAAAATGAATATATATATATAATTTAGAAATGTAAGATATATATATATATAATAAATAATATTAATAGTAAAATATATATAATGAAAAAAGTAAAGGGAATTGATTAGAAGAAAAATTAATATTAACTTATAAAAATAAGATTAAAAAATTTGAACGAAGAAAGAATTCTCTAAAAAGAACTTTGAAAAAAAGGGAAGAAAACTCTTATTAATCTCATTTTCCTCCTTTTTTTTTTTTTTTCCCCATATTTTTACCCTTTTTTTCATTTTTTTCCTTCCTTTTTTCATCATTATATAATATGAGTACATGTTTATAGGCATCCAAAAAACTTTTAAAAAAATATAGTATCTTTTACGTTAGTACTAGATACATTAATTAAAAAAATAAATCTTACAATAATAAAAAGATATTTTAAATTACCCTGGGTAAATAATGGAAAGTCTAAAGGTGAATTTAATTATAAATAATCAATAAAATAATTGAAATTTTATAATCAATTAAAAATCTAGTATTGGACTCGTATTCAATTTCTACATGCCGTGTCTTCGTTAAAATAAGCATATATTTAGTTCTCGATGTTTGATTGAAGCGTTTCAAAATGCGTTACAAATATAACTGAAATTTGATCATGTTTCAAGAAGACATATTGACTCGGAAATGCTCGAATCCCACCTGAAAATTCATTGCAAATCGACTGATGTCTAAGACTTCAAATTCAGCTTCAATAAAAATATTTAGACCTTGAGAAAGGATAGAACAAACGAAAACCAAGTATTACAAGTTTCTTTCTTGAGGATTATGTATGTTTTTTAGGCATTTGAGGTTTGATGTGTCCTTTGTTGTTTACATAGTTAATGGATATACTTTTTATGACTATTGTTTGTGGGTTTTCTTGAGAGTTTTTTATCTCCATTGTTACATTTTTATGCGGTTGGTTAATTCAGTGTGATTGAGAATATGTTTTGGTTTCTGCTAGTTATATCTTGTAATATTTATGTAAGTTTTTTTATTCTAATCTTTTATATTTCTTGAAGATTTCTATTGGTATAGTCTAATTTTGTGAGTCCATTTATAGTTCACTATCATAAGTACACGTAGCTTACCCAAAAACGAAATAGTTTATTCATAACATCAAATCATAATGAAATAAACTGGTTTACATAAAATGAATTAGTAATTCATGAGTTTTCTGGTGGGGCCAGTCTCAGTGCATGCAGGAGGATTTTGTTTGCCTGTAAGTGTAGGTTTAACATTTTTACATAAGGATACTGCTTTTCCTCCGCTATGTGTAATATCGATGTTGTTGAGTTCCACATTTTGACACGGTAAGTTAGCACTGCAAATGATTTTTACGGCTTCTGGAAGTGCAGATGTGCCATGAATATTCTTGAAGCTAATGTCGCTTAGCTTAACTTTGGATTCTTCCTGCATAAACAAAATATTGGTTAAAGGAATAATTAACTATTTTTATTCTATTAGGGTTTTGATTAGTATGTTCATACCTTCAAATTACATTTATTCCAAGGACAATATTTTTGGTCAATCAAGATTGGGTTCTCGACATTCTTTACGTTGATGTCCTCAAAATGCATATCTGATGCAATGCCAGGATAAGAGTTTGGCCAAGTCTTGATTCTAACACCATTCGATGTATCACTGATGGTGCAACTCGAGACTTTAATTCCCTTAACCGGTTCTTCATTTTGATATAATCCAAGACTCCCGATACTGATTCCATGTCCTGGTCCACAACTTACTCCTTTGACGACCACATTTTTAGAACCATCCCCAAATGAAATACAATCATCACCGGTTTTTATATTTGTATTAATAATGTTGACCCCATCTGATCTCCCAATGTGAATTCCATCTGTGTTTGGGCTATCTTTAGGTGCAGATACAGTGAAACTTTGGAAAGTAATGTTTTTGCATCCCAAAACATTAACATGGAACTGTTGCTATCTTTGCTAGTTATATCTTGTATCATGACGTTGGTCAAATAATCAAACCTTAAATTCTGTTTAATTCCGGAGTTAAAAGAGCCATAAAGAAATACGTTAGTTATACTTAAAATAAAAAATCTTTAATGCTTGCAAAACGGTAAGAAACCTTACAATGGGAAGGGTACCACAAAAGTTATGTTTATCGCAACCTTCTCTTGTATAAGCAATAGTTCCTTGTCCATCAAAAATTCCTCCACCAGACATTTTAAAATTTTGAAGTCTACTGATAGAAATCCATACAGGTTCTTTGAAACCTTTAGGATCAGATGGAGCCTTTATAGTGCCTTGAACTTGAAGCTCAATAGGAGCCTTGCAAGGACCAGCCAGGTTTGCTTTACTTAATAAATATGTTCCTTTGGGAATAAGAATTTTTGATGCAGTTGTTGAAGCACATGCTTCATTCCAAGCATCCAACAATGGCTAAAATAAATAAATAAATAAATAAATTCTACATACTCTTGTTGTTGGAATATTAGAATGAACTGTAATTTCACTTACCTTATTCAAATCCGTTTTCTCATCAGCTTTTGCGCCAAATTTATCCACAACATCAATAACACTTGTTTGAGCTTCAATAACGAACATAAATAAAATCAATATTATAAATGTGCGTGAAACAACATTAAGTTGTAATGCCATGTTTTAAAATTATTTTGTCTTAAAGGATGAATGAGTGTTCTTTTGTTTTGTTTCAAATATATAGAGTTCGAAGAAAAGTTGCAACCAACCAAAACTTTTAATTAATTATTTTCTAATTTAAGCAATTTGCAAAAATCATGCGGCTAAGCTTTAATTCTATGATTTTTTTTCTTTTTTATATCCACCTGGCTTTACTAGATAATTTTATGATCAATTTGTTCACAAACTTAAACTACGCAGACCAAGTAAAATTACTTTACTAACAAATGATTTAAAAGCATTACTTAATTAACTATTTATATATAAATAATTCCTTCGTACAATTAAGACGATGAACAATTACCAGCTATCATAATTTTGAAATTTCATTATTATACATAATAGTAATTACTTTTAAAATATTCTATTCGTAAGTAAAATCTTATTTAATATTATAATATGGTGAAAATACTTGTATATATATGTTGAGTAACTCACTTGATTTGAACTCGTCAAACAATCTTAGTAGTTTAAGGGAGTTTTGTTCTCTTTAGAGATTTTAAGTTTAAGCAATTCCGTTTACATGATGTATGTTTGTGGCTCAATTAAACGTTTTATTTTTAATATAATATTTTTCATTTTAGTCACTTTTTATTTCTAATTCGGTTACTATTTTATTTTATTTTATTGCATTGCATTTTGGTCCCTTATTGTTTATATTCGAATATTAAACTTAATACGATCTTGTGGTGACCCTCCTTGGGGTATGATCCACATTATTCATAGTCCAGGTAAAATTCTAATTTTTAACTGCTAACCCCCTAATTTTCTAATTCCTAACTGATAACTTTTTTTATATTCGAATTATTTTACGACCTTGCGATGATCCGCCCTAGGGTATGACTTGTATTATTTATGGTCCGGGTAACAATTAAATTCACTCTTAACCTTTTTTTATTCGATTAATTTATTTTTTGTTATTTATAATTTTGCCTTTAAATTTTTGTTATTTTAATTTATGCATTTACTTTCAGAATTTACATTTCAGTCCTTTAAATTCCATTTTTTAATTTTTGCAATTTCTTAATTTAAACTTTATGTTCTGATTTCTTTCATTTTAGTCCTTTATTTAATGTTTAAATTTTAGTTCTACATTTTTAAATTGTTCCAATTCAATCCTTTTATACGTGTTAATTGTTTTTTTTTTTAATTTTTGGTCTTTAATTTCAATTTCTTTACATTAGTCCTAGAATTTTAGGTTTTAAATTAAACCTTTTAATATTTTAGTTCAAATCTATATTATTTATATTCTTAATTTAGTCCTTAAATTAGGTGAATTCTTAATTTGGTCCTTATTTTCTCGAGGTTCCGAATTAATTATTTGATTTGCATAATCGATTAAAATTTGAATAGGTTAATCTTAGAGCCTATATTTTTAGATTTAATCCATAGATTCGTTAAATTTCATAAAAATGAAGAACCCATTAAAGGAATTAAAATCTCGAACTGCATAATTAGCGGTACTTCGAATGGTGTTAGAATCAAAACTTGGCCAAACTCTTATCCTGGCGTTGCATCATATATGGCTTTTGAAGATATCACCGTAAAAAATGTTGAGAGCCCAATCATCGTTGACCAGAAATATTGTCCATGGAATAAATGCAATTTGAAGGTATGCACATACTTATCAAAATCCTAATGAATAATAGTTAATTATTCTTTTAATCAATATTTTTTCGTGCAGGAAGAATCAAAAGTTAAACTAAGCAGCATTAGTTTCAATAACATTCATGGAACATCTTCACTTCCAGAAGCTGTAACAATTATTTGCAGTGCTGCATTCCCATGCCAAAACGTGGAACTCAACGACATTGACATTACATATAGTGGAGGAGAAGCGGTATCCTTATGTAAAAATGTTAAACCTAAAATTGCTGGCAAACAAATCCTCCTGCATGTTCTGCCACCGAAGCAGAAGGCTCTAGACCCATCAGAAAGGTCAAGAAGTAATTCATTTTATGTAAACAAATTTATTTCATTATGATTCAATGTTATGAATAAACTGTTTCATTTTTGGGTAAGTTGACATGATTGTACTCGATTATAATATACTTGAAATCAGCTTACAAAAGTAGAGTATACCGGTAGAAAGTATCTTCAAGAAATATAAAAGACTCGAATAAAAAACACACATAAAATTGACATGATATAACTAGGAACAATTGGCACTTGTTCTCAACCACGTCGAAAAGAACCAACCAAATGAAAATGTAACAAACGTAGAACGAGTAAAACAAAACAATACAATATAAATTACATCCTAAAAATGATCAACTCCACATGATTGGATCTCAAAATCTTTAATATCAATCAACAACGTGTAAAACAAAACTCCATAACATCCAAACCACAACAACCAGAAAGAATCAACCTCAGTGTTTAACATGCATCCAACACAAATATAATTGCTACATTACAACAATCATCTTGTCTATATAGGCCTAAAGGCCTGAAATATTCACTAGCATCAGTGGTTGTTTCTCTTGTCACACTCTGACTTTGGGCCAATAATTTTTTTAAAAAAATTGAATTTTGAGGACTCAATTGTCTTAAATATGAAATTTGAGAGATTTAAATGATAGAATTAAAAGTTTAATTATTTAATTAAAAGCGATTTAAGGTTAGAGGGACTAGATTGAATGAAAATTGAAATTTAGTGTATTAATTGAAAGATTTTGAAACTTTTGGACCAAATTGAATGTAGGCATGTTCTGTAAACTCTAAAAACTTGAAGTATGTTCTGTGACATTGTACAATTTTAGAGTTTCAGAACACGCTTCAAGTTTTTCCCTACATTCAATTTGGTCCAAAAGTTTCTAAATCTTTCAATTAAGACACCAAATTTCATTTTATAATAGACTTGTTATTAGAAAATTTATTAATTTTATACAGAATGTTGATTCAAACGGTAAAATCGATTAAACTGAAGATTGGAAGGTTAATTGATTTGACCTTTAGTTCAATTTTTAAAATACTGGCTTTCATTTTTTTTATAATAACTATAGGGTGTAATATCATAAATTATAATAATTAATTAAATATATCACATCAATATAATTACAATTAAATTTAATTATTATATAATTTTTTAAACATACTCTTACTTTCTAATGCTTTTTTCCTTATTTTGTAATAATTATCCAAAAATAAAAGATAAATAATAAATACACCAATCAATTAAGGAACTTGCTTGACAAGTTCATGGACTTTAACAAAATAATAATTCCGACACTTTGGGGCCTACTATGAAGACTTGTTTAATAATTTTTTGTCAAACCTATCTTTATATTTCTAGCGGTTGTCATTTAACATATATATAAACTGATGACACTAGTTGAAGACACTCAATTTCGACCACATAAATTAAATTATAATGTGTATATGATATTATAATATTATAATACACATGGCATTTATATTTATGAGTTATTGTTTATAATATATATGTATATCACATGACATACATATCATATTATTACAATATACCACGTTTATTTATTTATTTGAGTTTACATGATACAGTCCCAATGAGCTGTAACCAAACGCTTTGATCCAACAGTGGCCCAGCACAGTAGCCCGCGTAGAGAATTAGGGTTTCACCCTATCTTATGCTTTCAGCCGCCGCTCAATGACCGTTGGATCTAGGTGAGATCCAACGGTCCACAGCAGACCCATCTAGGGTTTCATCTTGTTCCAGACCTAGCCCGTTCCAGCGCCGTTTTTGACATCGCATGTCCCAGTCAAACTCCCCACGCCTCACGCCTCTGGCCACGCACACGACTGTCACCGGATTTCACGACAACCACCAACAACACGCAAGGATCTCGCACAGTCACAAGCAAATATTATAGTCCTATTAGGATTCAAATAGGTCCAAAAATAACACAAATCGAAGTTATAAATAAATGTAATCGAACCCATTTGTAAGGGGGGGATTTTCATACTGAATACAAGCAAAGTTACTAGCAAATCACATCCAAATACTCAGAGCATTCGAAATTTTCTTTCCTTTGCAAAAATTCAAAGAAAATTAAAGGTAAGGAACTCACCTTTGTGCGATTTTCAGGCTTGCATGTCAACTTTGTACTTCCTTCTCTTTGTTTTTGGTTTGAAAAACATCAAATAAAATGATTTATGGCCGATGAACCGAGGCGCATTCGAGATCTATTTTCATAGATCTAACCTCCGAGGCCGATTTTTCTAAGAAACAAACTCTATTTTCGGAACAAGGGGGTGAACATCTTTCGGAAAAAAGGAAACTTTTTTGTTTTTGCCGACGGCGGCGGCGAGGTGGCGTGGGGGGCGACCGATGGCCTTTTTCTGGTAATAAGGGTTGGTGTTCTTCGTTTCTGAAGAACACTGAGAGGAAATGTCTGAAACGGGGGGAGCTCTCAGTCTCAAAGGAGAGAAATGAAAATTTTAAAACACTTTTTTGCTTAAATACGCGACCCGTGGAGCCAACTGACCCGACCCGTTGCACATCAGATCCGCGTGTTTTCACGCAAATTGGGAAAATCCCATTTTGGTCCCATCCGTTTTAAAACTTCTAATTTGATCCCTAAAACTCGATTTTAAACCCCCATTTGCTTGCGAATTCGGCCTTCTGTTTTGATTTCCTTTCAATTTAACCCCTCCGTTATTATTATTACTTCTTGTATATATATACATATATTTTTACTATTTTTTTATTTTATATATATTTTATTTATACGTTATTACATATATGTATATTTCATATTTCATATTATCTCTTTTTATTTTTCCTCTACTTTTTATTATTATTTTATTTATTTCGTTATTTCGTTTGTCTATTATTATTAAATTTTTCTTCTCTCGTATTTAGCTATTATATATACATATAGTATTATTATTATATGTTTTCATTAATTTTATTATTTGACTTTATTTAGTATACGCTATTATTTTACATTTTTTTTATTTCAACATTGAATATATATATATATATATATATATATATGTGTATTTTATTTAATTCTTATCATTCTTTTATTTTATTTTTATTTTGCTTTCCTCATTTATTTATTTATTTATTTTTCCTTTTATGGTACCTTATCTTTCTTATTTCTTTATTTGTTTATTTTCTACTTTATCATATGTTTTCATACTCGTCTTTATTTTACTTCCTTCATGTTCTATGTCTCCATGTTTATGTTATTTATCGTGTATCATTTATTTTTATTTTTATTTTGTTCTTCATTTTCTTTATTTTTAATTTAATTTATTTCCATCACCTTTTCTAATACATCTTTTGACTCTTAAGGGCTCACTTTTAAATCAATTAGTGGTAAGTTTTCGGATCGTTATTTTACCTTTAAATTTAAACTTACAATTTTCTTAATTAAGACAACTGGAAATTATATAGTACCGAAAGGGCAGTTCAAGGGTGCTAACCCTTCCTTGACTGTAACTGACTCCCGAATCCGACACGTTTCTGGTAAGACGCAGATCAGGTAAGAAATAAGGTATCCGATCAACCCATTTGTTTTAAAATAAATGACCGGTGGCGACTCCAATCCACATTTTTTAAGTCGAAGCCCAATTCCGGGGCCCAACCGAAAGACGGTTCCGACAGCTTGGCGACTCCGCTGGGGACAAAGGTAAGTGAGTCAGACTAAGGTAATTTCCAGTTGTCTTTTTAACGAAAAGGGTAAGTTTAAATTTTTAGGTAATATTTCGAACCTTTTTACTTACTTTTGATTATATTTTTGAGTAAATAGTTGTACTAACCGTTTTCTCATGATTTCAGCCTTCAAACCTTTTTTCACTTAATGCTCTATACCCGAGCTCCAAACCCTATTTTAAATGGGGGTGAAAGTGACGCATTCGTGTGAATTTATTCACCGCATATGCCTAGCAAGTAGCCTTCGGGATTCATATACCTTATGTCTTCGTGTGAATTTATTCTCCGCATAGACATAAGGGAATGTGTCCCCTCGAGTTTAACTTAGTCCACACAAGCCTGTGATGGGTTTAGGACTAAGGGTCTGGTAAGCCCAATGGGGCACCGACAAGGAGAACTCGGGTACCGTTTTAGAACCTAAACCGGAGACTTTGAAGAAATAGAGCCTACCCAAAACCACATTCCAAAACCTAGGACTTTGCTTTCTCAATCATGTTTTTTGTCCCTATGCTTTTTCCCTTACCATTTCTTTTCATTTATTTATTTATTTTTATTTTTACTAACCTTTTGCCTTTGTGTTTGTTTTTTTAGCATTTGCATCATAACAAGAAGCCATTGATCCCTAAAAAGACGTTCATTACACACAAAATAATCTGAATTAATGGATAAAGGTGTTGTAATACAAGAGATTAAAAACCCCGAGGTACGACTATGGTCCGAGAAGACTCAGAAGGAAAAGGGAGACAGTCTTCAAGGAAGTTATGTGTCAGAGCTGGTTAGCTATGCCTCTATCAGCCTAAAGTAGAACGACGTGCAAGAGCTTCGGGACATCTGGAACAGTTGGAAGAATGAAGTGAAACAGAAGTTCAGCCAACAGTACGGTGATATTGCATTATTGCTTCATGTCAAGACTGATGAGCCCTTAATCAGAGCCTTGGTTCAATTCTGGAACCCGGGATACAGTTGCTTCACTTTTAATCAGGAGGACATGGTGCCCACTATAGAAGAGTACACTACACTACTGCATTGTGAAAACATCAAACTCGAGCGGGCCTACCTTAAGCACATTAAAAGCCAACCTTTCAAAAATACAGTCAAGGTTGCCGGAGTTGATGAAAATGGGTAACTACCGGGCTCGATGTAAGGGTAGTGGAGAAGGAATCGCTTGGCTTCATATCAAGCAATTAATGAAGCATCATCCCGATGAGTGGAAGATAATAGACCTATTTGCATTAGGTCTGTATGGTCTAATTATATTCCCAAAGACCTTGGGATACATCGATGCCGCCGTAGTGGAGCTATTCGAACAACTCTCGAGAAGAGTCAATCCAGCACCGACCATC